TCACGGAACACCAACTTATATTATCTCACAGTTCCGTGGGTTAGAAGTCTGGACAGGCTCAGGGCCGGCCCTGTGTCGTAGCGATCAAGTGCGCGCGCTCCACCGCCGGCGGCCCAGGTTTGGATCCCGGGCGCGCACCGACGCACCGCTTGTCAGGCCATATGCTGTGGCGGCGTCTCATATAAAGTGGAGGAAGATGGGGCACGGATGTTAGCCCAGGGCCAGTCTTCCTCAGCAAAAAGAGGAGGATTGGCGTGGTTGTTAGCTCAGGGCTGATCTTCCTCACACACACACACAAAAGTCTGGGCAGGCTCCACATAGTCCTCTGCTTAGGGTCTCACAAGGCTGAAATGAAGCTGTCAGCCAGGCTGCAGTCTTATCTGGAGGCCCCGGGGAAACTCATCCAAATTGTCGGCAGAATCCAGTTCTTTGTGGTTGTAGGATGGAGTTCCTAGTTTTGTTATGATGCTTGGCCAGGGATCCTTCTCAGCTCCCAGAGGCCACACACATTCCTTGACACATGGACCCCTCTGTCTTCCAACCAGCAATAGCAAGAAGAATCTTTCTCAATCCTTCTCAATCTCCTTTGAATCTCTGGCATCCTCTCTTGATATCAGCTGGAGAAAACTCTTTGCTTTTAGAGGGCTCACGAAGTTAGATTAGACTCACCAGGCTAATCTTTTTTTTTTTTAATGTTCACAGAATTCTTTTTTTTCTTTCAGTTTTATTGAGATATAATTGACATACAGCACTGTATAAATTTAAGGTGTACAGCTTAATGATTTGACTTATGTATATTGTGAAATGATTACCACAATAAGTTTAGTTAACATCCATCATCTCATATAGACAAGCATGAAAAAAGAAAAAACGCTCTTTTTTGCTTGTGATGAGAACTTGTAGGATTTACTCTCTTAGTCAATTTCAAATATACTCTACAGCAGTGTTAACTACAGTCATCATGTTGTACATTACATCCCAGTACTTATTTATCTTATAGCTGAAAGTTTGTACCTTTTGACCATCTTCATCCAATTCCCCCACCCCTATTCCCCACCTCTGGTAATCACAAATCTGGTATCTTTTTCTATGAGTTTGGTTTTCTGTTTGCTTTTTTTAAGATTCCACAATGAAGTGAGATCATACAGAGTTTGTCTTTCTCTGACTTATTGCACTTAGCTTAATGCCCTCAGGGTCCATCTATGTTGTCACAAATGGCAGGATTTCCTTCTTTTTATAGCTGAATAGTATTCTGTTATATGTATATACACCACATTCTCTTTATCCATTTATCTGTTGATGGACACTTAAGATTGTTTCCATGTCTTGGCTATTGTAAACAAACAGATATCTCCTCAACATAGTTATTTCATTTCCTTCAGATATATACCCAAAGTGGAATTACTGGATCATATGGTAGTTCTAATTCTAATTTTTCGAGGAACCTCCATACTGTTTTCCATAGTGGCTGTACCAATTTACAATTCTACCAGGAGTGTTCAAGGGTTTCCTTTTCTCCTCATCCTCACCAGTATTTATCTCTTGTACTGATAATCTCTTTTAGTTAACATCAACTGCTCCATACAACATAATCTAAAAATGGGGGTAATATCTCATAATATTCAGTCTCTTGGGTTAGGGAAGGAAATCTTGGGGGGTCATTTTAGGATTCTGCCTATTACAATGGGGCTTAAGTAAATCTCTAGAAAATAACTGTCCAGATGAGCCATTGATTTTCCCAAGCAAATAATACAGGCTATCCTTATCACCTGGGACATCAAACAAAGCTGAGCATAAATGTATTAAAGAAAAGAATTTGGCTTTAGAGGAGATTATAGCAATTGTGTTAGGCACTACAGAAAAGTGAGGTATACCTATTTTCTTTATTGCCTGCAGATCTTGAATCATGCATAGTGCAAGTACACTAATGTTCAGATCAACTATAAATTGATCTTGTGTAGGAGAATTTTCCAGGAATTCTAAAGTTAGTCCTTCTTTAGTGCGTTTAATCTGGTAGTTTCATTTGCAGAATAGATACCTACCTATTAAATTTATAGGGGGTTTTTAAAAGAAAAGAAAGAAAGTGTTCATTGGATAATGGTCTAAAAATAACAGTTACTGGTTGGGACATGGGCACTTTTGGTCATTTTTCTCACTTCTTTTATAGAAATACTATCAAATACATTGTTTACTTTTGATGTGTCAAAAGTTCTCCATTGAAACCCAGTCGTCTTTTGTGAAATTTTGCTGTTTATTAAGATAAATGCCATTTATTAAGATTTGTCTTTGGCAAAGATAAGCTCATGACAAGTAGCAGAGAGGCCACTACGTTCAGTCATAAGTGTGAATGATGTCATGCACGTGATGGAGTATTTTTCACCCACCAAGCAGAGACCAAAAAGGGGATATATGACGAATTAGACAATAGCAGTTGACCTCAGATTATATGCTAAACAAAGCGATTTTCTTTCACAAATTAACAGGATGTCAAGGGTCTTCATGAAGGTTTTGGTGAGGGACTCAAGATAGTGTGACCGAATATCTTTGCACAAGTTGGCTACTGTTTAATGGATCCACATCCATTAATTAGGCTTTGGGGCTGGCTTGGATAGGGGACTTATCAGGTCTACACCTCCATCTATTTGTTTTGGATCACTTTCTTATAACATTCAAGAAACAGGAAAATCAGGAACAAACAAACACACATGAGACAAGACTTTTTAAACATAGAAAAAAGAAAAGTGAGAGTAAATGAAGTAGTGGAAGAATAAGAACATTAACAGAGTATTTGCTAAATGCTATACCTCCAAACCAAAATTTATATTAAATTACTTTGTATTTAATTGCATATACATCTTTAAATAATAAGATGAATTTGGAAATAAGAGCTCAGTGAAACAAGTCAGAGCTCAAGTTGTTGTTGAGACAGATTCACTTGACAGTGGATCAGTAAGACAATGTGAGTTGGGCACAAGAGGCCAGGGATTTATACCTGTTGGTCCAAGGGTCCCACAGGACATTCCTAAGCAAGAGTCTTCAAGGTGATCTTGGTGGGAACTCCATTTTTGAAGGGACAGACCATCATGCAATATCTGAAGCTATAAGATGGATTTATTGCTGCTAAGCAAAGCATATGGTGGGAGAAGGCAGTACTTATAGGACACAGTTTCTTTAAAAGAGGAAATTTCTGATTTTATATAGAATTTTAGAAAGCATGTAGTTCAGGGACTGCAGACTTTCAGAAACAGGAGTGTTGATGAATAGGTTAGCGTTCAGCTATAGACACAGGCTTTCTGGAGTGTGGCTGTTACTGATAGGCTGATTTTCAGAAGTGTAAGTCTGCCACTGATCACCTGGCTTTAAATGTGGTTAGTGATGTAAGTAGTCATTGGCCAATTGAGATGAGTTTAAAACTGCTTCTGGGAGTTAGTTTTTACAATTTTCAAAGAACAGTTAGTTTTTTCCTGGAAGGACAAGATCTTTTTATTTTATTCTTAGGGCTACAAGTTGAAATATAAAAGTAGAGAAAGCAGAATTATGGGCGAAAGATGGGAAAAGCATGGCTCTGTCAGATCTCAGGTGTGATTACTGGAGCAGGTATATTTTTTCCCAAAAAGCAGTTCATCTTAGCTCAGAATATCAGTGTGCAGCATGAGAGTGCTAGGAATTCTTCCCTAATCACTGCCTTGGGATCCAGGGACAGTAATTTTCTTGTTTTTCTTTAGTATCGAATGAACTAGAAGCTCTCCAAACGCATGGAGAAGGAGAATCAGAGGAGCTGACATCTAGCCTACTACTCAATGATGGACAAGGTAATTATGACTTAAAAAATAATGAAAACAGAAACAGAGTTCTGATAAAGAGAAAAAGACAAGAGAAGAAAAAAGGGAGACTTAAAGGAAGAGTCAGGTATACGGTGAGTTAATGGAAGATTTCAGAGGAAGAAGTAGAAAAAGTGGGATCAATAAGGGTACAAGAAAAGAGGATCATTGGGACAAATGAAAAGCCTTCATAAATCGCAATTTTGGCCCAGGAGCAGAGCTACCAGCACGTGGAAATGAGAAGTGTTCCTGCGTTATGTGCTTCCCAAAATATGTGCCAGGACGTCTGGGAGCAAGGACTGGAAGCGGCCGAGCACGTGACAAGATGGGTAAGGCTGCCTGAGGGTCATGGGATGGGGGTGGCTCCATGGGTACCAAAACCCCCAGGTAGGGTGGTGGTGGGTGGTTCAGTCCATCTCAGTATCCAATTCTCTGCATTTGCTTGACCTAACTCTTTTGGAAAAGCAGGGAGGCAAGAGATCATTATTAAGTCATGTTTAACAGGATGGGCCCTATTGATTATATATGGATGATGTGGTAGAAATACACTCTTAAAGATGGCACTATTTGTTTATTACACTAGTATATCAATAGTAAAGCCTTGTATTTGTACAGTGATTTTCATCCCTGTCACACCCAATCTTCTATGGAACTCAAGAAAGCCAAGTGTACTTCTACTGTAGATAATATTGTCATCTTGTCACAACCTTAGAAAAGCCTCAAAAGACAACTGATTCTGCCACTTAATTGTCCAGAGGAAAGACTTCAGATCAGCTATTCTTAACCCAGCACATATTTTTGTTGGATATCCTCCAGCATGTTACTGGTTTATATAGCGAGTTCCTACAAACCTATGCACATAACATCTAGTTTAATTCCCATAAAAAATGTTAAGACCTTAAAAAATTTTAAGACCTAGACAGGATAGGATAACTGTTCCTATCGCTGAGTAAACTAACCTACATAGATATTTAAGAGTGTTTTTCAAAGTCCTATTGAGAAATAAAGGAAGACCCAGGGCCCATCCTGGACTCTTACTTCTCAATTCAGTACGTCTTTAGTTCCTTTAAGAAGAAGAGAAAAATGATAACCTAAACATCTTTATAAACTCAAGCCTTCTGCAATATCATCATAAGATTTGTAACTTCTCTTTATTCATTTATGTTTCCTCACCATCACTTGTTGTTTTCTAGATACTGTGGATCTTGGAAACAACTCTACTTTGGGAAAACCCAAGAGGAAAAGAAGTAAGAGTGCATAAGATTTTACTTGCTTTTGATGTTAAAAATGAGTTTTTTAATGCCAGAGTTTTGTTATTATTATTTACAATAATTAATGATAACAATATGATGGCCTCTCAAAGATGTCCATGTCTCCTAATATCTGGAACCTGTAATGTGTTATATGGCAAAAGGGATTTTATGGGTATAATTAAGCTAGGGACTTTGAAAGGGGAGATTATCCTGGATATCTGGGTGTGCCCAATATAATCAAATGGAGAACTGTTCCTGGCTGTGGAGAGAGGGAGAAGTGACTGTGCAAGATGGTAAGAGAGAGATGCAATATTGCTGCCTTTGAAGATGAAGGAAAGGTACAAGGCAATAGACCTGTAGAAGCTGGAAAAGTCAAGGAAATAGATTCTCCTTCGCACCCTGAAGAAAGGAATGAAGACCTACTGAAACCTTCATTTTAGTCCAGAGTACCCTTGTCAGACTTCTAACCGACATAACTGTAAGATAATAAATTTGCATTGTTTTAAGCCACTAAATTTGTGGTCATTTGTTGTGGCAGCAATAGGAGAGTAATACAGATTTGGGTTATTGGAAGTAGGGTGCAGCTATAATACATTCCTAAAAATGTGAAAGTGGCCTTGGAATTGGGCAATGGTCAGAGGGAAATTGGGCAAGGGAAAGAATTTTAAGAAGAATGTTTAGAAAATGTCTAGATGGCCTTGAGCAGTTTGTTAATAGAAATATGGCGCCAACGGCTCTGCTCGTAAGGACTCAGAAGTGAAGAACATGGTAGAGAAGACCTATATTGTCTGAAAGAATACATAAATCATGCTGAACAGACTGTTAGCAGAAATGTGGAAGTGAAAGGTGTCACTGGTGAAGGCTCAGAAGGAAATAAGGAACATGTTTTAAAAACTAGAGGAAAGGGGATCCTTATTATATAGTGGCAGAAAGCTTAGCAAAATTCTGTCCTGCAGGTATGTAGAAAGCAGAACTTTCTGGATATATAGCTAAGGAGATTTCTAAGAAAAGTGATAAAGGTGCAGCTGGTTTTATTTTGTTGCTTATTGTAAAATGTGAGAGGAAGGAGAGAAATTGAGGGAAGAATTGCTAAACAAAAGGAATCAAGACTTGATGATCTGGAAAATTCTCAGCATATCCAGCTTGCAAAAGATGCTAAAATTAAGAGATTCACTGTCAGGAAAGCGCGCTCTGTAGAAGTGACCAAGAGTGGGGCTGTACTGCTTTTTGCTAGTGCCTGAGAAGTAGCGAAAGGTCAGAGTATTCAGTCACATAAAAGGGTATTTAAAGCGATTAAATATGTGACTCATAGATCCCCTCAGCCAGCACAGCAGAAGTAAAAAATAGACATATAATTATACAGGAAATATCTGTGAAGGAGCCTCGTTTCTAATGGAGTAAATCTCACATACATGGGAGATCTATATAATTCTTGTGAATTTTATACCAGCAGAAACAGAGATGTCCATGTTCTAATCCATGGAACCTGTAATCTGTTATTTTACCTGGCAAAAGAGACACTGAGGATGTGATTAAGTTAAGAATCCTTTTTGTTTTTCCATTTTTTTTATTGCAGTAACACTGGTTAATAACATATAAATTTCAAGTGTACATCATTATATTTTGCTTTCTGTATAGATTACATCATGCACACCACTCAAAGACTAATTACAGTCCATCACCACACACATGTGTCCAATCATCCCATTCGCCCTCCTCCCTCCCCTCTTCCCCTCTGGTTAACCACAAATCCAATCTCTGTCTCTATGTGATTGTTGTTGTTTTTATCTTCTACTTATGAGTGAGATCATACAGTATTTGACTTTCTCCCTCTGACTTATTTCGCTTAGCATAATACCCTCAAGGCCCATCCATGTTGTCACAAATAGCTGGATTTCATTATTTCTTATGGCTGAGCAGTATTCCATTGTGTGTATATACCTGATCTTCTTTACCCATTCATCCCTTGATGGGCACCTAGGTTGTTTCCAAGTCTTGGCTATTGTGAATAATGCTGCAATGAACATAGGCGTATCTGTATATTTACACATTCATGTTTTTGTGTTCTTTGGATAAATACCCAGCAGTGGAATAGCCGGATCATATGGTAGTTCTATTCTTAATTTTTTGAGGAATCTCCATACTGTTTTCCATAGTGGCTGCACCAGTTTGGACTCCCACCAGCAGTGTATGCGAGTTCCCTTCTCTCCACATCCTCTCCAACACTTGTTGTTTCCTGTCTTGTTAATTATAGCCATTCTGACGGGAGTGAGGTGGTATCTCATTGTAGTTTTGATTTGCATTTCCCTGATAGTGAATGATGTTGAACATCTTTTCATGT